AAGCGGCCATGTTTCAGATAATAGAGGCTTTGGAAATGTGGGTTTGGAGAAGGATGGAAAAAAATAAGCTGGACAGAGAGGAAGACCAATAAAGAGGTGGATTAGATGTGTGTTATGTGGAGACGGGTTATTGAAGGAGGTGACTGAAAGAAGAATAGCGGGTAAAAGACCAAGGGGAAGGAAAAAATGGCCATGCTGAGCGAATTGAAGGAAGATTGATATGCCTGCATGAAAAGAAGAATAGAATAGAGCAGTGTTATTCACTAATTTTTTCAAGAGAGCCAAAAGTTCAGGGCATATTCAGATTGAGAGCCACATGCCTCGTAAGCTACAAGGATTAGTATTAGCAGAACAAAATATATACAGAAACTAAATTACATATTTTTTACATATTTTTGATACTGGCAAAGTATGGGTCGCCGAGCACTGGATTTTACGTAACCTACACGTACAGTTCCTGTGCGGAAGGAGCGTCATTTCTCTCTCTCTCTCTCTCTCTCTCTCTCTCTCTCTCTCTCTCTCTCTCTCTCTCTCTCTCTCTCTCTCTCTCTCTCTCTCTCTCTCTCTCTCTCTCTCTGTTTTGCGAGCCGCCACTCAGGTCTTGGCGAGCCGCCACTGGCTCGCGAGCCGCGCAATGATGACCACTGGAATAGAGTGTCAAGAAGAAATTGAATGCCAATATAGGACCTAGAGTGATGTGTGTGTGTGTGTGTGTGTGTGTGTGTGTGTGTGTGTGTGTGTGTGTGTGTGTGTGTGTGTGTGTGTGTGTGTGTGTGTGTGTGTGTGTGTGTGTGTTTGAGCGTGCGTGTGTGCACAGTATATACGATCATTGTCCTCGGAAGAAGATAGCATTCAGCAAGTGAAACCTGCTAATGCTGCTTTGAAATTACGTTTCAAATTGCAAAATCCGTACTGGTCGCGGTCTTTTGGCTCGCGTTTGCGGTTGCATAAATACAAAAAAAAAGAAAAAAAGTGAGGCTTGCGCGACAGAAAATAGGTTAATTTATATCATGAAACGAATTTTCTAGATTCTATTTTGATTTGATTTTGATGGATACTTGGTAACGGTCATATATTTTGAGAATAAAAAGAGAGGGAAGTCTAAAACTGAAGCTGAGGTAAAAGGATGTTGTCAGTCGATGCAGAATAAATAAACTTTCTAGTGACAATCAAATTTTTATCTCTTACCCTTCATGATCAAACGAAGTAACAGAAGAAAAATAAAATCGAAAAAAGTGTATCTTGATAACGAACGCATTGCATCAAATCCACTCATATTCAATCATTAATTAGCAATGACTCTTAAAGTCTTTGGAGAAGGACCCCTTAATCGGTTCATTTTGTTAAAAGACCAACGTGATGATGCACTACAGGGATTACACATTAGCATCTGCAGGCACTCTGTATTTTACTGATGAAGTTTACATTGAACTGTTTATCAATTAATAAAGTGAAGATAAATTACAATATAAATAAACCTACATCAAACTGTGTAGTCAAACGACGGTATAAACAATTCCGGGAAACAACGTGAAATGGTGTAATCAAGATACTGCATAATCATTAACATTTGCACATCATTAACGGATTCATTTACTGTATATATTTTATCCGATTTGGTATAGCACTTTAGATATTTGTTCTAGTTTTCGTGAACTACCTAAGGAAATTAACTATGAACAGGAGGACTTGCTTATGTTTGTTCACCACAACGGAAAATACTTTGTTCAGAGTAAATTTCATAAACGTGGAAAATACTGCTCTACAACGTAATTGACTATAAAAAAACACGAAATCATTTTCTATTCAGTCACTGCATGCTGTAGTTATATAAATATAAGCCAGACTGTTACGCAACCAGAAATGGGGGGGGGGGGGGGGGGGGGGGGGGGGGGGGGGGGGGGGGGGGGGGGGGGGGGGGGGGGGGGGGGGGGGGGGGGGGGGGGGGGGGGGGGGGGGGGGGGGGGGGGGGGGGGGGGGGGGGGGGGGGGGGGGGGGGGGGGGGGGGGGGGGGGGGGGGGGGGGGGGGGGGGGGGGGGGGGGGGGGGGGGGGGGGGGGGGGGGGGGGGGGGGGGGGGGGGGGGGGGGGGGGGGGGGGGGGGGGGGGGGGGGGGGGGGGGGGGGGGGGGGGGGGGGGGGGGGGGGGGGGGGGGGGGGGGGGGGGGGGGGGGGGGGGGGGGGGGGGGGGGGGGGGGGGGGGGGGGGGGGGGGGGGGGGGGGGGGGGGGGGGGGGGGGGGGGGGGGGGGGGGGGGGGGGGGGGGGGGGGGGGGGGGGGGGGGGGGGGGGGGGGGGGGGGGGGGGGGGGGGGGGGGGGGGGGGGGGGGGGGGGGGGGGGGGGGGGGGGGGGGGGGGGGGGGGGGGGGGGGGGGGGGGGGGGGGGGGGGGGGGGGGGGGGGGGGGGGGGGGGGGGGGGGGGGGGGGGGGGGGGGGGGGGGGGGGGGGGGGGGGGGGGGGGGGGGGGGGGGGGGGGGGGGGGGGGGGGGGGGGGGGGGGGGGGGG